GCTTGTGGCCCTGGGCCTGCTCAGAATCACCAAGCCGCCATCTACTTCCGACCACAAGGCTCAGTGGAGCCCCCTTACCAGTAGCCATGAGGATCAGCAGGGCCTGGGCCGCCAACCCAGCGAGGCGGCACTCCTACTGCCATCCACCTTCAGGGCTCTGGGGCTCGGCAGGGTCTGACCCAGGGCAGAGCTCGGACAGTGCCTGTGGTGATGGGCGGGCACACGCAGCCTTCCTCCTGCAGAGAGGGAAGCAGCGGCAGTGAGCTTGTCATCCAAGGCAGCCCCCATGCAGGGTGGCTCAGGCCGCCCATCCTCGAGGCTCCCCACTATTTGTGCCGAGGGAGTAATGACACTCGGCCTCCAAGCATAGTGCTGGGCCAGAACCCCCCTCCCAGCAGCAGCTGAGGCGGGGAGCGGTCTAAGGCTCTGAGAAAGGCCTCCAGGAGCCCCTAGAGGGAGGCACACGGTGATGGCTAGAAACGCAGAGGTTTCCCGAGAGAGACAGCTCCTGGGAATTAACCAGGGAGCAGAGGGCTGTCTCCCGGGCCAAGGGACATCAAGAGGCAGGGAGAGAAGCTGCTTGCAGGCAGCATGTGGGCCTCAAGGGCCCTGTGGGAGTTACCTGGCCACCTATCGATGAGTGTACCAGCACCAGGAAGGAGGGCAGTTAACCCCATGCACTGGGGCTGCTGAGAGCTGAGGGAGCAGGAGGCCACAGCCTAGGGGGTGCAGCGTGGGAGGACTCGCTTGAAGTTCACACCATCGCCCCCGCACCCCTCCCCCCCCGCTCTAGCTGCAACCCTTCGCTCCTGGCTGTGGGACCTGTCTCCCAGCCCAGCACACCCTGGCGAGCTTCTGCCAGGTCCTCTGTATGCCAAGCCAGGCTTCCTCCTAAGTCAAATGTCCCACTTGAGGCCAGCCGTGTGACCAGGTGTGGCCCAAAACCAGGCCTGCACTGGCCTAGTCCCCCAGACAGCAGCCATGGCTCAGTCATATGTGTCTGCCCAGTCACGGTCCCCAGGGATACGAGACACACTAGCATGTTATCTGGGCCTCTGTGAACACGTCAGCAGCCACGGTACCCCTCGGCCCTGCTAGTCCATTTCCTTCCACAATGGCTCGCTCAGCCTCCTCCAGAGCTCATCCTGGTCTTTCAGGAGTGGATGACGCTCTGTCCTCCACAGGTGCTGTCTGGCCCCCCACCTGCACACACCACGACAGCATTACATCGACTCATCTGGGGCTTACCAGAAGGCAGACACAGGGAGGGTTCACCTCCACATCTGCAGCCTTTTAAATTTTTTTACGAATTATTTATTATTTAATTTTATTTATTCATTCACTTTTTCTTTTTTGAGAGGTTTTTGCTATAGGGCGTGTGCGCTCGCCAGAAAGACAAAGAAAGACAGAGAGACAAAAAGTGAGAAATCAGCCCCCAGGGGGGATGGCGACCTCGCAATCCCTTCTCCTCCATTCTCCTCTCGGGATCTTGGGCACGCACGCACACGCGCCCGGCATGAGTTTAAGCCACCAGGTCCAGGACTCGAACCGCGGTCAACTACATGGGAGTCCAGCGACGTAGCCATTACGGTAACTGTTGGTCCTTCATTCACTTATTTTTTAATTTGACCAGAGAGACAGACAGAGAGAGAGAGAGAGAGAGTGAGAAAGCAAGCCCCCGAGTCCGGGATACCAAACCGTGGTTGGCCATGTGGGAGTGTCCAACACTTTAACTACCACGCCACCTGCTGGTCCCCCACATCTGCAGCCCTCATCGTGCCGTCATGCCCACAAGAGGATGGGTGCTCAGGAAACCTTCTCTGAATGGGCAAGGGGGGCAGGAAATAGGTTTAGAAAGAAGTCAGCTTTATCCTAGAGCGTGGCTGTGTCCCTCCACACAGAGGAGACTAGGCGCATGCGTGCTCCCCCAGACTCTCGGGAGGAGAAAGCCACAACACAAGAACAGCGAGAGACTGAGAGCAGCAGCCCCCGAGGCCTGGCCCCTCTCCCCTGCCGGGTCCATTGCCCAGGGGGGAGGAAAGATACACCTGCAGCAGAGGCACCCTTGGCTTTCCAACTCTGACTGAGACCTAAAGGCAAGGTCCCACTGAGGGTCCTGCTTCTTCCCACTGCCTCACCTACCCGTGCGCTTTCACCCCCACAGAGGACCTGCTCAGTTTTTCCTAAGGAAGTAGCAGACCAGACCAGCCATCTGAGCTCCTGAGAAAAATGTCCATGGCTTGTGTTTGCTGAGGGTCACTGTGAGGGTAGGAATCACACAGGAGACAAGACTTTAAAAACCCCCTTCCTCAGGTGCTAGGTCACCATACTCTGATCAGAGCTAACGGAGGCAGACTGAGGGTCAGATCTGCCTAACGGAAGAATGAAACAAAGATGTTCTTTACAGTATTATTTATAGTGGCAAAAAGCAAGTGATGCCTGACTACAGAGACACGGTGAATAAATGACATGCATATCCACGACGGAGCACTGCACAGCCTTGGAAGGTGCTGTTGGCTATGCATCTGGTGTAGTGCTGAGGAGGAAAATGGCCAAAACGTTTATATATCTGGTGTGAGCTAGTCTACGCAAAAAATGCTTCAGCCAAAGGAACAATCCTGCAAGGGCATACCTGGAATAACCATCAAGTCTTAGCTTTCGTCGATTGACTCATTCATTTAGCAAATGTGCACTCAGGGCCTCCTGCATGCTGGCTCTGCACCAGGTGCTGTGGAGACAGTGGTGACAAGGCCATCCTGGGCTCTGCTAAACACCTGCTTCAGTGTCACAAACCTGAGCCCTAAGGATAGAGAAAGGGCTGCCCAGTTCATGAAAAGGCAGAGTTCCCAGTGTAAAAAAAGAGGGAAAGACTGGATGAGGCTGTGATCTGAGAGGGAGATGCTCAGGAGCCACACAAGAGCATCCAATGTGGGGGGACAGAGGCCATTCAGCAGAATGCAGAGTCTTCTCATCAGCACGTGTAATGTTCTCCAGGATAGACCACATGCAAGGACACAAAACAAGTCTCAGTAAATTTAAAACCCATGGAATACAGCAAATCAGTACTAAGTTTATAGCAATAAATACCTACATCAAAAAAAGAAAGACTGCAAATAACTAATGATGCACCTCAAGGAAGTAGAAAACGAGAACAAACCAAACCCCAAATCAGGAGGAGGAAGGAAATAATAAAGATCCACGCAGAAACAGGGACCAGTAGATGGCAAAATGGTTACACCGCTGGACTCCGATGTCATCAACCGGGGTCTGAGTTCCAGACCCAGCAGCTTAAACTCACTCCAGGAATGTGTGCATGCACGTCAAGATCCCGAGAGAGAATGAAGGAGAAGGATTGTGGCATGGCCATCCCCCTGGGGGGTGGTTTCTCACTTTCTGTTTTTCAGTTTCTCTCTGTCTGTCTGGAAAGCACAAGCAATCTATAGCAAAAACCTCTAAAAAAAGAAAAGGAAAAAAAAAAAGAAGAAGAACCTGAACAGAAATAAACACAACTGAAACAAAATAAAATGAATGAAACACAAAGGTGTTTTTATAAAGAGATAAAATATTGGGTCATCAGAAAAATCATAACTGACGGTATTTTTCTGTTTTTCTAAGTGAAATATGTGCTGCGACTTTTTGGATGACCCAATAAAATCAACAAACCAAGAGCTGGACCAAGAAAGAGAGAAGACCTAAGTAAATGAAATCAGACCACACTGCCTAGTGGTCAGGAAGCCAGATGCCACATGGCCAACCACTGTCGGGATCCTGGCCCCAGCAGCTTGAATAACATGCCAGGCACATGCATGCATGCCCCAAATCCTGGCAGGACAGAGAGGTAGAGGGGGAAGGAATTGCTGTAGTAATGCAAATGTAAGATCTGAAACCCTAAAACTACTAGAAATAGAGGAAACACTAAAGGGACATTGATCGGAGCAAAATTTTATGAGTAAGACCTCAAAAGGACAAACAACAAAAGTAAAACTTGACAAATGGGATTCATATTTTAAAAAAAAGCTCTGTACAGCAAACAATCAACAAAGTGAGGAAACAACCTATAGAATAGGAGAAGACATTTGCAAACTCTTCAACCAATAAGTGATTAATATTCAGACTATACATGGAACTCAAACAACTCAACAAAAAAATCCAATTTAAAAATGAGCAAATGTTCTGAACAGACATATTTCAAAAGAAGACATACAATTGGCCAACCAGTATATGAAAAAATGCTCAGTATCACCAATAATCAGAGAAACGCAATTCAAAACCACAATGAATCTTACCTCAAAAACACATGGCCAACCTCTGTGGTGCAGATGGTAGGGCACTGCTGCATGATTCTAGAGCCATATGGGGAGGTGCCAGGTCCACATCCTGGGTCAATCTGAGCATGCCAGGCGTGCCCTCAGTACAGCCATGATCCTGGCTGGCTGGAAGGCTCAAAGGGAGGATGCTGGCAAGGAAACACCCTATCAGGGATCTCTCTCCTTCTCTCTGGAAATAAATAAGCAAAAAAGACCCAAAAAATGCTGAGAAAAAGGGACTCTTACATACTGCTGATAGAATCGTAAACTAATACCACCATGGAAAACAGAATGGAGTTCTTCAAAAACTATTTTTAAAAATAGAACTATCATATGACCCAGCAATCCCACTAGCAGGTATACATCGAAAGCAAAGGAAATCATGTCAGAGAAGTATCTGCACTGCATGCTTACTGCAAGGGAGCACTATTCAGTCCTTTAAAAGAATGGAATCCTGTCATTCGTGGCAACGTGGACGAGGCTGGAGGACACTATGCTACGTGAAATAAGCCAGGCACAGAGAGAGAAATACATGTTCCGTCACACATGTTGAAGCTAAAAAAAAGTTGATCTTATGGAAATCGGGAGTAAAATAGTGGTTACTAGAGACTGAGAAGGGGATGAGAGAGGAAGAACTGGGAGAGACTGGTTAGTAGACACAAAATTACAGCTAGATATGAGGAGTCAATTATAGTGTCCAATTACACTGTAGGG